CTGGACAAAATCTGAAGAAGTAATCATCTGCCAGGTGCCATCAAAGTTAATCTGTTTCAGTCATCTTGCCTATTCATCCTGCTATATGGCAGTGAAACATGGTTTATAACGGAAAAGATGAAACGCAAACTAAATAGTTTCGCAAATAGCTGTTATAGAATAATGCTTGGAATCAGGCGTAGCGATCATATTTCCAATGCCACCATATACAACAGACTAGATGTGGACAAGCTGATAAAGACAATTGTTAAAAGACAGCTTGAATGGGTAGGACATATTTGTAGAAGTCCAGATGCTGAGCGCTTGAGAAAATTTGGCTTCTATCAACCATTGCATGGTACACACAATCCGGGGAAGCAACCCCAGGACTATCTTGGTTATGTGTTCAACTTGCTAAATAATGGTATTCGCGATAAGAAGTATTGGAAAGTGATGGACATTGTAAATGATGCTAAGAGTAGACACAAATGGAAGAAGATTGTGGTCGCCTGCTCCAGAGCAGCCGAGTGATGATGATGATGAGAACGCATGGACTATAGGTAATCAATCATGCTGAGTCTTGTACCAATATTTGTTTTTAGAAAAAGTTCTAAAAGTCTACCGAAAATCGAGTTTTACGAAAATTTTGGTTTTCAGCCTGTTTTCACCTAATATTAAAAAATTCATTATTCACTCAGTAAACATCAGAACAAGTTCAGACCTTCAGGATATGATTAATTTTCTCCGCTAAACATGGTTATAGAAAAAATCGAAAAAGCATATTTGTGTTAATGGGTTTTCCAGAAACCCTTTAGAAAAACCTTAGAGTTTTGTAAAATTTCTTTTGAGATCTCCTATAAACAGGATATAGAATAATTCAAATACTCTACATTCTGAAGTCTTGAACTCATTCCGATGTTTATTAGGTGAATAATGAATGTTTTAATAGAAGGTGAAAACAGCCTGAAAATCCAAATTTTCGTAAAACTCGATTTTCGGTAGACTTTTAGAACTTTTTCTAAAAATAAATATTGGCACAAGACTCAGCATGATTGATTACCTATAGTTCATCCATTCTCAAGGCTACCGATACACAGTGGGCAATTTTGGCTAGGCATGTGGACATTGGATTTTAAAGCGCTGGAAAGATCTCTCAGATATGTTTTTGTGGGTTTTCGAGCGTGCTCTTTCTAATGGAGTTACCTAAAAAGTTCAAAACTCATGTTTTAAGGGTTTTACAGAGATCCAGTCTATAGAAAACCTTTGCAAAACCAGTTTAGAATTTTTTAAATAAGTCCATTGAATCAGCCGTGAATCGGCCTCCAGATCTCTTTTCTAACGATATAAAAATCACCGGCCTCAAGTACCACGATGCTGCCTCAAATTTAGCCTTACGCGAAAACTTAGAATTTTTTTCCAAGAAACTGCTATAAATACAGCATTTTTGTCGAATGTAGTATTGCACTACTTACTTTACGATCAAATAAAAATTTATGCTATAGAGCTTCCGAACTGCTCGTTCCAAAGAAAATGTCTTTTCTAGAACATTTTTTAGCTTTAATTCGGTAATATCATGGAATTTAAAAAACTATGGCTTTTTCAAAACTAAACTTGAATTGTTGTGAAACTTGAAAATTGTTGTAAGAAACTTTATTTTTATTAAAGCTTTGAAAATATAGTTTGTTCAGTGTTTTACTCTTCCGAACCATGTATAAGAAAGATTTTTTTTGTTCGTGATCGACTGCTCTTGTTTAATGCTCATATTTATGCCATCATCTCAGAGCATCGCAGCAACGAATACTGTTGCTTCGCGTATGTGTTCAGTCGCTTTCGCCGGCACCTCTTATTTTTATTATCTTCCCCGCGCGCTAACGTGGGAAATTGATATGCTTTCAGTCACCCTGTCGGAGCCTATACCAATGACACTACTTATTCATTGAGCATTATTATCTACTCGTTGTTCTTTGACCTCTCTTCTTTCGCTATAGAGGGGAGGGAGGTCAAAGTTGACGTTCTGTTCACTTTGCCATGGGCGTGACAGACATTTTTCTTATTGTGTCTGTGATGGTCTAGACACCTCGTTCGACATGTCTGTCACGGTCTGTGGGATACCGGGGCATCACTTTTCTCCCGTTATACTTCAACACTCATAAACAGTCGTGTTTCACAAAAGCTTTCCGCGCAATCTCTATGGGATTAAAATGTGAAACATGATGGAACGGCTCTAAACCGTAGAGGAAGGCGCTCTCGATATTGATCACGATTCGTGACAGTGTCGAAGGAACAACCTGATACATTTCTGTCATGGTCTGTAACAGAGACTAAAAGATCACATCACAAGGAAAAAACGGATTTTTTGGACTTCAGGCTCTCAAATCTGTTCAAAATTCAAAAACCCTTGAAAATCCGAAATTCCCAGGTTCAAAAATACAAAAATAGTATGTGGAAATATCTTTCAGGGTGTGCGACGATTTAGATGTTTTTCCGACATGTCTGTCACGGTCTGTGACGAGGCCTTAATACCAGTATGTTGAAATACCTCTCACGGTCTGTCGGGTGGGAGAGGGATGATTCCTTTTTTCCCCTATACTTTGACACTCATTAACAATCGTGTTTCACAAAATTTGGAATTTAACGCCAAAAAAGAGAAAAATTCAATCCCAACAATATGTTAATTAACGCCAAAATGTTACACACAGACAGACGAAGAGACAGACATTCACGATTCTAGACCCTCTCCTTTCAGCCCAGGGAATAGATCGTCATTAGTCTGTATTCCGGCTTGTCAACGTAATGCGACACTTCAGACATTAAGTATTTATTTCAAAACTTTAAATAAACGTTTATGCCATATTGCAGAGCATGTTCGGAGGTGTACGAAAATGTATTTGTTATTCAAAAAATTATTTTTGTGGCTCTTAACAAACGTATACATTAATCCCGAATTATAACACCGTTTGTAGCAATTTTTTCTTTCCTACTTCGAAACCAACCGTACACGTTACTGACCAACTTCGAACCCGCGCTTTCAGCTGTTCTCTAAACTATCACAGACGGCCTTTCTTTTGGCAAAAGAACCAACTTTGGTCCTTTCCTTCATATTGAAATATTCGCAAAACAATACTTGATCAATCTCGCTGTCACAGCGTTACGAAAAGTCTTTATTTTAAAATTTTGATGAGCCCCTTACGAAATACCAGTGAATAAAATAGTGGATCATTGCTAACTTTTTACGGCGATTCTGATGCACTACTTTTTTCCTGAAAAATATTCTATCTGGAGGAAGATAAACGTAACGCTGTGACAAAAACTTGATTTTTGATGCTATTTCTGGTTTATGTAATTGAGCAAAAATTTCAATATTACAAGCGTCAGATAGCGTCTGGATAGAATTTAAACCTGATCTTGGCCTTTTGTTTACTTATCTAGCGATAAATCTTTCTAAAAATCTCTAGTTTTTGTTTATTTAAGTTTCCATTTAGAGTCGTCAAAATACATTGGGAATAACTTGAGTCAGCTAGCTCTACGCTGAATCAATCACGAGCTTTTGCACGAAACACTGAGAGATTAAATACTATGGCTCAAAATTATTTGCTAAATACCGGCCATTTCTATTGCTTGAAAATGACCGTTTTTGCCCGTACATTAAATTTACGTGTCATGTGGTCAAAGTAGGTGTCTAATTCGATTTATAAAATGAGTCAGACATCACGAATCTTCCTAACACTGACCAACGAATTGCGGAAAAAATAGATTGTTTGACTTGCAAGACATGACTCTTCAGTTATTCCCAACTTACACCTGCGTAGTGTGATGCACAGTGAAGACAAACCGATAGGGTTGTCACGAGTGAGAGGAAGGAAACGTTCATTTGCAGTCTTGGAAAAACTTCATTTTCTCGGAACAGAACAGACCACATTTTTCTGATTCCTGAAGAAAATTACGACAAAACGGATCGACTCATCAATCATGACGGGACGGCTTCCCAAATTTTTGAAGTTGGGTCAACCAACACAATAACAAAATGTTATGATAGTGTGGAATGTGATCATTATTACTAGTTTATTTCCAATACAGGAAAGAAATGCATGTTGACTTGTTGTGGACTCTGTCAGTTATTTCAAGATGCGTTCGCGCAGAGCAACGAGTGAGTCTTTAGTCCCGCAGCCGTTTCCGTCGCCTTGCCCGGCCGCGGGGCGAGGCGCGGGGAGGCGGTACACGTACCTCGCTTCGCGGATCTCAGATTAACATTGCATTCGTCCAACGAATAAACGACATCGATGAACAGAGAGAGGAAACGAGGTCCGAACGCATAGTTCTTCACAAGTAGAATGGTGCTCAGCTGCATATATAATCATTTTTAGGCATAATGAGTTGTCCTCTCAAACATCTGAAATATCTTTGGTACATCGAACATCATGCCGCGTGATGCCAAACTGATCAACCAGGAAATATTAATATTAACAGATCCTTGCTTTTATTTGTAGATATATAATTACCAGCTATGGCATTAGTTCAATATACATGTGACAACAGCAAACATTGTCGATAAACGCAATCAATCCGGATTGGTTACACATCCAACTGTGCGTCAATTTTGATAGAAATCGAAACTAGTCATGGCAGCTCTAACTCACCACTATGAGTAGGCAATCATTACAACTAACTTTCTAGTTGGATATAACGAGCAGCCTGTCTTTTCTTGTAAAATCTTTCGAGATCAATAGCATGAGAAGACTCAAAGATTTACTTCTATGTAGAAGTATCCGAAATACAAGCCATCTGATGAGATCTCTTGAGCGGAGATTGAAACCGGTCATGCAGCTCTAACTCACTCTCACCCCTCGTTCTCTATTTCTTGACTCACAAGCAACTACAAGTCTTGTGTAATAACAATTTTTTTCTTTCTGTTCTCTATTTCTTGACTCACAAGCAACAACAACGAGTCTTGCGTAATAACAACATCCTTTTTACCTTTTCTCCTGAACTTATTTTGCTCTTTTCTAACGATTATTACAGCCATGTCGCACGTCATTGACGAAGATGAAACCTACATGTATGAAATCTTGCAAGAAAAGCACCTCGAAGAATCGACTAAACTTCTTGCTGACGTCTTCACCAAATACAACCCACTCGAAGTCTACATGAAAACTACCTACGAACAATTCTATCCGCAAGCACTCGCATTCTCAAAAGCTGTTCTTAATGAACAACTCTCCGTCGTAGCAGTACACAAACAGACGAAGGAAATTCACGGTCTCGTTCAAGCTGGCGATGCTAAGAAACTGAATGAACATAATTTTGAAGAATTGGATGTCTGCAAAGATTTGTCAAAAGAAGTATTCGACGAAGTGGAGCAACGGTTTATGAAACAGTATGGCGAACCGAAAGAAAATGATTTGATACAGATAATGATGGCGGGTGTTCGTCAAGATTGTAGTGGAAAAGGTGAGTCTTCGAAGAAATCATATCACCGTGCTTCGAAATTTTCAAATGCGATTAGAGTCTGGGGTATACCCCAGACTCTAATCGCATTTGAAAATTTCGAAGTCCGGTGATATGATGATTTTCCGAAAAAAGTTTCGAGAAAA